GGGGGGCTCTTACCTGCGCACAGCTGGGCGGGCCGGACGGTGACGTTGCGGCTGCTGACGGGGTTTCGTGCCCAGCACGTCAGCGGCACCGGCTCCTGCGGGGCTGACTCCTCCACCAGCAGCGTGGGCCCCTCTCCCCGGGGCTGCTCCCCCACGCTCCAGCCGTAGGACACGTTCCCCAGCCCGGGGGAATGGGCCCCGGCCCCGGGCAGGGCGCAGCGCAGGCCGTAGCGGCAACCACCGGCCGAGCAGTTCTGGGCCTCGCAGCTCACCCTGGGCTCTGCCAGCTCGCCTGGGGGCAGGGCAGGGGCTGTCAGCAAACGCTTGGGACATCGGGAAACAACCCCAAAGGCAAGGCTAAATGGCACCTACTGTACACGTGGAGGGTGAAGGTGGATTTTGCCTGCAGATTCTGTGCTGAGTAGATCCCAGCATCCTCCAACCTGAGCTGGGAGATGGTGAGGGCCCTGCCCTGCTCCGAGATGATGCAGCGTGTCTTGTATATTTTGTCTGAAAACAGGGCTACAGGAGGTTCACCAAATTCCACGCTCACTATGGGTGCATTTCCAAAGTTCCAGAAGGCTGTACCTCCAGCCAGGTCGTGGATGTAGAAGGTGACGGACCCACCCACGGCTCCAATCACCTCTGTCTCAGAGTCATCTCCAACTGTGGAGAGAAGATGGGCTGAAGATGCTGTGCCCGGGGGAAGGGGCACAGCAGGGGTGGGGGGATGCTTGAGGAGAAGGCAAAAGAGCTCAGGGAAGGGTCTTGGGCCGATAGAGGAGCTTCACCCCCACCACCGTCGCACAGCGTGAGGCCAAACCGAGCCCCTCAACACCCACATGCAAAGGGTGTGCAGGAGGTCAAAGCCCGGGGCTGGAAAGTACAAGAGGGAGTTTGCAATGGCTTGGAAAGGTCAGGCAGATTCATTTCGACCACCACAGGCTGAGCTCACCAACACAAGCAGGCGAGGAGCCACACGTCAGCCAGCTGAGCAGCTGCTCCTCCCTTTCCCTTGGAAGAGAAGCCTGGAATCATGGAATGGGTTGGGTTGGAAGGGACCTTGAAGACCGTCTTGTTCCACCCTCCTGCCATGGGCAGGGACGTCTTTCACTAAACCAGGTTGCTCCAAGCCCTGTCCAACCTGGCCTTGGACACTCCCAGGGATCCAGATGCTCTTCTCCAGCCTGACCATTCCCAGCTGTCCCAGCCCGTCTCCACGTGGGAGATGCTCCAGCCCCAACTTCATGGTCCCCTCTGTACTTTCTCCAACAGTTCCACATCCTATGTCTCAGAGCTGGACACTGTTCCAGGTGGGATCTCACCAGGGCAGAGCAGAGGAGGAGAATCCTCTCCCATGACCTGCTGGCCACAGTGCAGCCCAGGATAAGGTCCCTCTGGATCCATCCCTTCCCTGCAGCCTCCGACCACACCACCCACCATGGAGGGTGAACTCAAGGAGCAAGTAATTTCCTTCATGATTTTGCCTGTTTCCCACCTAAAAACTCAGCACTTCCCAGTCTGGGCTGGGAATGGAAAGGGGAACTGAGCCTGGCTCAGCTGTCCCACCAGACCCCGAGGTTGTCACGTCCCTCCCTACCGGGGCTCAGCAGTTCTGGTTCCCTCAGCCTGACCCTTTGGGACATGGACAACCAACCCTGGGGAAGGAAAAGGCTGGTGGGGATGATAAATCCGCAGGAAATCTGTGGGCCAGCTGATAATAAAGACGCCGGAGGCTGCGGGAAGGGGCCGGGGCACCGTTTGCCCTCGGCCGAAGAGAAGTAGAAGCACCACAAAATAATTTTTATTGGGGAGCACCAAAAAAGGCAACGTGTAGGGGAGCAGAACCTGAAGGCAGAGCAGGGTGGACTGTGCACATCTGGCAGCAGCTGGGTGGAGGCTGGGCCGGAGCTGAGAGCTGACACGAGCCAGAACCCGAGGCACTTTTCCCCCCCCTTGGTTTGCCCGGCGCCAACGCTGGCACAAACTCCATCCTTGTTCCCTCACATCCCCACTCTCCTGGGCATCCCCCTGGGCTCCTTCCCTCCTGCTTCCAAGGCAAAAAGAGCATCCCTGCACTTACTTGCCCGGTGGAGGAGGACGAGGGAGGCGAGCAAGAGGAACCTAAAGGCGTCCATGGCGGAGCGCTGGCTGCACCCACCATCTGCAGCGGGTCGTGACGGCGACTGGAAAGAGAGGGAGCTTGTGAGCACCCACAGGGTTTTCAGCGGCTGCAGATGGGTGGAGAGAGCTGTCATCAGCCCCGTGACTCTGTCAGGTTTCTGTGATACCCGGATGGGGGAAATGTCCTCCATAATGGAAAGATTTGGCTCATAAATTCCCGTTTTCAGGCAAAAACGAGGGTGGAAGATGGGAGAAAGAGTATCATCATGGCACTGTGTTTGTGATGAGTGTCCCAGACCTTTTGGGATGACCAGTTCGAAGAGGGGACACAGCACAGGATGGACATGGAGCTGATGGAACCACTCCAGATGATGAGAGGGATGGAGCAGCTCTCCGACGAGAAAAGGCTGGGAGAGTTGGGATTGTTCATCTGGGATGATTCAATTGTGGCCTTCCAGGACCTGAAGGAGCTACAAGAAACAGGGGGAGATGGCCTGGAGTGACAGGACAAGGGGGGAATGGCTTCCTAGTGCTAAGAGGTTTAGGTGGGATATTGGGAAGGAATTCTCCCCTGTGAGGGTGGGCAGGCCCTGGCACAGGTTGCCCAAAAAAGCCGTGGCTGCCCCATCCCTGGAAGTGTCCAAGGCCAGGTTGCAGCAACCTGGGCTAGTGGGAGGTGTCCCTGCCCACGGCAGGGGGGTGGAACGAGGTGAATTTTATATCCCTTCTGAATCAAACCATTCCATGATTCAATTATTCCTCCAGGCTGGGGGAGCAGAGGGGAGCTGAGTTTAATTCAGTGGAATTCATCCACGATGCCAGTCCCTGGGAGGTGCCATCAGGCCCCATATCCTCACTGGGGGACAGGACCCAGGGCTATTTTAATGCCTGACCTCTCCAGTGCACTTCTCCCTTGCTCGGATTTCGATAATCACGTGACATCCCAGAATAACAAGAATTAGGGAAGCGCTGCTTTCCCTTCCAGTTCTCAGTCAGCTCTCCTGTCTGGGGGGGTTGGAGGGGACTAGAGCAGCTCCCCCATGGGACAGGCTGAGAGAGTTCAACCTGGAGAAGGGACGCTGTGGCTGCTCCTGGATCCCTGGAAGTGTCCAAGGCCAGGTTGGACGGGGCTTGGAACAACCAGGGACAATGGGTTGTCCCATCTCTTCAGGCTGGTGCCCACAGAGGATTTGGGACACTTGTCACGCACAGCCACAACGATGCCCTTTCTCCCAGCTTGTCTTTGCCTGGAACTGGGAGTTTTCCAGCTCAGGTTTCCTTTGTGGGGGTGGGATTGTCCCCCCCACGGTGTTGCTTTCCGAGTGTCGCCACCCGAGGCCGCGGTGACGGTGACAGCAGGAGGAAGCTCAGGGTTCCCTCCGCCCCTCCAGCCACCAGTGA